TGCTGGTGTTTCCATTGAAGTGCATGGTTTTAGTGATGCCAGCATAGATGCCTATGGAGCTTGCGTCTACATCATTTCGACCACGCAAGGCCAATCTCGTGCGGAGCTGCTGTGTTCCAGATCTCGTGTGGCGCCGCTCAAATCGTTGACCGTGCCCCGACTAGAGTTGTGCGGAGCCGTTTTGCTGGCACAACTCATAAACGAAATATCTCGTATGGAGTTATTCGACTGCAAGTTTTATTGTTGGTCTGATTCTGCAGTAGCGCTATCTTGGATTCGCAGCGAGCCATCCAGGTTTCAAATTTTCGTTTCCAATCGCATCGCAACTATTCAAGAGTTGACCTCTGGCATGGAATGGCGATATATTCCAACCGATTTGAATCCTGCGGACATACTTTCACGTGGAGCTTTGCCCAGCGAATTAGTCCAGTCCAACTTGTGGCTACATGGTCCCGCATTTCTGACGAAGGACAAATCTTCTTGGCCAGAGTCTTGCATTTCCGCCTCGTCGCTTCCTGAGCAGCGCTCTAAAGTGTTTGTAAGCACCACACTGTGCGAAGACATTGCACAGCAATGCAAATATGTTAACACATTTGGAAAGCTGCAGCGCGTGTTTGCATATGTATACAAGTTCCTGCACCGTGTACGAATTCCTGGGCTATCGGTGGACTGCATCCGTCATGGTACACTGCTGTTGATGCGCTCAATTCAAATGTCTACGCTTCGGGACGAATACAAGACCTTGCAGGCCGGACACATTTTGAAATCGTCTAGCTCCTGTCTTTCTTTATCTCCGTTTCTCGACAGCTCTGGATTGATGCGCGTTGGTGGCCGTCTAAGTAACTCTGCGCTCGACTTTGAAGCCCAGCATCCAATTATACTTCCAAGGCGTCATCCAGTCACGCGTTCAGTCATTATGCACTACCATGTCCGTAATCTGCATTCTGGACCTCGTGCATTGCTGGCCTCAATTCGGTTGCAGTATTGGCCAATTGGCGGTCGGAAAACAGTGTGCAGCGTAGTCAGCAAATGCACCATTTGTTTTCGAGCCAAGCCTCGTCTTGTGGAGCATGTTATGGCTGACCTGCCAAAGGATCGAGTTGATGCTTCACATACCTTTATGGTCACTGGTGTGGATTTTTGTGGGCCGTTTTTCTACAAAAGCGAGGTCCGCAATAAGGCACCAATAAAATGCTATATTTGCATTTTCATTTGCTTCGCCACCAAAGCTGTGCATTTGGAGTTGGTGAAGGATTTAACCACCGGAGCATTCTTAAATGCACTTAAACGCTTTATTTTGACGCGCTGTCGACCTACGAGGATCTGGTCTAACAACGCTACAAATTTCGTTGGCGCACGGAACGAGATGGCTGAGCTAAAGCGTCTTTTTGAATCCAGCGAGCACCTGCAGGCTGTGCAAGAATTTTGCCTTGCTGACTGTATTGATTGGCGTTTCATTCCGCCGCGCTCGCCTCACTTTGGTGGTCTATGGGAAGCGGCTGTAAAGACTGCCAAGCATCATTTCTACAGATCCGTTGGACTATCGCTGCTCGAATTTGATGAACTGCGCACGCTTGTATGCCATATCGGGGCAATTATTAATTCTCGCCCATCGTTATCCCTTTCAGAACATCCAGCAGATCTCGATGTCTTGACTCCAGCTCATTTTCTTGGTGCTGCTCCGCTGTCAACGTACGTTGAGCCTGATCTGACGAAGCTCAATTTCAATCGGCTGGATCGATGGCAGCGCGTGACGTACTACCAGCAGATATTTTGGGCTCGCTGGCGTGAAGAATACTTGACGCTTCTTCAACAGCGCTCAAAATGGCGAGTGTCGCAGCCTGGACTCTCCATTGATGATGTCGTTCTGGTCAAGGACGAGAATTTGCCGCCCCTCAAATGGCCATTAGCAAGGGTGGTCATCCTCATCAGCGGCGCAGATGGCGTGTCGAGAGTTGCAGAATTGAGGACTTCCACTGGAACCATTCGGCGAGCCGTTCGCAAATTATGCCCGCTGCCGAAACAAGATGTTGTTGAAGACCCTGGTTCTTCAACAGGGGGAGTATGTTTGGTCATCCGGCCAAAAACAGCCAAAACCAGCAGCACATCATAGTTAATAAGTAACGTAAATAACTCAATGCAAAGTGCTCGTTTTCTTGTCGCTTGCTTTGCATAGCAAGCCGAGCACTTAACGTTTCCTTTTGTTGCCATAAATTTGCATAGGCTGCTGCGCAGCCGCCACATATGTACTAGTTATTGTCGCTAACTCTGCAAGTCAAGTTCGTTTTTCGTTATCGCATCTGGTACGGAGAAGCTTAGCTTTCCGTCTACCAGCATAAACTTTGTAAATCTCGGCGATCGCTACCTATGCAAAATAAACATTTGTGCACCTCTTTTAAATTGAACAATTTCGTTTCGCTTATTTTGCAAATATTTCGCCAACATAATTTCGCATATTTGGAATCATAAAAAAGCTTATGATTATACACTTATCATAAATTCTATTTTGATGACATCAAAGACTTTTAATTTTATGAATCAGGTAACAAAGTATTTTATTAAACTCAAAATAAAACATAAAACTTATGTTTTTTGCCATCAACTTTTAGATTTTGTGTAACATTGTCATTTGTACTTTTGCTTATTTCAGACAAATGTGTTTTATATTTTCCAACATAAAATTAATAGACTGAACATAATTTTTATTATTTTTAAATACAATTTTTGGTTCTTTTCTAAATTTATGTATATTTCATATGATCGCAATGCTACCTTAGAAACCTATACTAATTGAAGGAGTATAACATAAATTAAAAAATAATTTTCTCTGCACAATTAAAAAGTTAATTTGGACACAAATATTGTTGAAAACGAGCTAGCAGATCAAAAGGCAAAATCAGGTTCGCACAGGCTCTAATGTATATAAACAATAAACATTTTTCCGATATAAGCAACACACTGAAAATCAACTTGCCGAAGTCCGAACTGAAACAAATGCAACAAATTTAAAATTGGTAAAAATTTTACAATCAATCTAAGCTGCCGACAGATTTACAAGCCAAAAATGCAATTTAGAAGATAAATCAAACTAAACACACTAGGTAATCGAGCCTTATACACAAATCACACACCATCTCCCCTAGAAATAAATCAAATAAAATAGCAATCTAATATTCACTTAAAGACCCGCCCATCAATACAATCATAACATATATTAATTCTTAAATAATACAAATTTTTATTTCTAAAATAATACATATTTTTATTTATGTAGAAATATATCAGGTTCAATATTGCTTTTATTTTATTTTATTTTTTCTTATAATATTGTTTATTATTATTGTTTATAAAACAATACATTTTTCTCTTATAATTCAGAATGCATTTCAATATTTTCTCATACTCGATCAATATTTAAATGCGTTTTTTGGATTACAAAAAAAAATGTATTACTAATTTCCCTTCGAAATAAATATTTTTAAGTTTTAGTATTAGTCAAGCATTTTTATCTTTTTTTTATACAGCACCCAAAAAGAAACCAAGTGAAATTCTATACTAGCCGACTACTTGATAATAGTAGGTGATATTGCAAATTTAAAAATAATAAACATTTTGCAAACTCACTGCCCGATCAACCAGTTTCAACTTTGTCAGAGTATAAATATCCAACGGAATTCGAATGCAAAACAAACGAGCTCCGATCAAATTTATGCATAAATAAAAACACAAACAACCGCCATAGAAACAACAAGTTCTAGATACACATATGAGGCTTTATGCAAACTTTTGGGGGCTTGTGCTATCAACAACAACAACTACAGCAAAACAAGTTCAATGCTACTGCTCCATAACTTATTAACTAGAGACGTGCGTGAGTTTCGTTAAACTGGGCCTCAAGAAGCTAATGTAAAGTTTCCCAAAAAAACTGTTTCCATGTATAGGTACAGAATGCATGCATATTATCAACATTTACATAACCCGAAAAAGTCCGTAACTAAAATGATACGGTACCACAAAAATCGCTTGTTGATTAGAGCATTATTTATAACATACTTTGGTATTTAAAAACATTTAAAAAAAGAGACACTTTATTTGCACATCGAATTTAAGAATTCTCGAAGCAAACTTAAAATAATTTTTACCATTTAAAAGAATTTGTTAAAATTTGACAAAAACTTAGTAGAATTCGGAACCTTGGGCTAAAAAAATATTTTTAAATTTAAAAAAAGAGACACTTTATTTGCACATCGAATTTAAAAATAAAAATTATCGAAGCAAGCTTAAAATAATGTTTATCCTTTAAAATAATTTGTTAAAATTTGATAAAAACTTATTAGAATTCGGAACCTTTGACTAAAAAAATATTTTTAAATTGAGAGATTTTCTTGATTGTAAAAATATAGTATGTATTGCATTCATTACCGTGCGTGATCGTGCTGGCTTTCTTTGTCACGCGCTCAGATCTGTTATCAACGAAACTGAAGCATCAGAACTTGGCAACCGGCAACGTTTGGGTAACTACAGAGCTAATTTTAAGCCTAGTTCATGAATATTAAAATGCTATAGAATCATAAACATTTTCGGGCACGCATAATGAGGCACTCTTTTATTTGATATGGATAATGGTTTTCAAACACCGATAAGGAGAGCAAAGTCAGGTGTTTTTGGCCAGGCCCACTGACATGTCAACAAACTGCAGTCCATGAAAACGTGTGAGCACACTTAATTACTGGGGTGGCACACAACTTGCATAAATTAAAAGGCAAAGCCACCTGTTCCAGGTAAACAATATTGCGAAATAAAGTGCTGCATATTTAAATATCATAACAAGAACAACAGCCACACTCCTAATGAATAGATACATATAAACAGATCAGAAGCAGCGCGCATTTGAAATAAACAAAATACTAGTTTGGCATTCGAGTATATTTAAATTAGCTTTCAGGATCAGCTACCAGCAGCCTATATAAAGCGTCTCGCTTGGCTTGAGATGGCCATAGTCTACATTGAGATCGTGTAAGATCAACGAATCGTCGCTGAATTATAAAAAATAACGCGTGTGAAGGGAACATTTTGTCTAACTTGAGTTTGTGTGATAATGGTAATAAAGAAAGATACATATGAAGGAAAAGTGCAATCTGAGAAATAAAATAAAAAGCGTATTTCTAAAGCGATTAGGATATTCCTAAATCCTCTTGGAATGTTTTTAATCATGCATAAATTAAAAAAAAGTTCTACTGCATGATATGTTGAACAAAAAATGTAGTAAAACCCTATAATATCTCTATAATATCTAAAAACAATTATAAATAAAGATGTTTCAAAAACACAGGGCGAGTTCTAAATAACTTAACTTTTAATGCGCGCTTTAAAAACACTGGAATTAATTTCAAACTCAAACACAATGCATCTTCAACATCAACCTTTATGAATAAAATTTGATCAAAACTATTAAAACATGAAAACAAATAATTCTGTTTTAAAGTTAAATGTTTGTGTTGTTCTTTAAACGTTTTCGACCCACAATAAAAAGGTTACCAAGTTGTCCTCAGATAAAGTCAGGATATAAATGTTTAGATCTTATAAAAGTAAATTTGAATATGAAGGAAACACACCTACACCCAACTAAACTATAAATAATATATTTTTTAGAAGAAATGTTATGAATAATATACAAATATACAAATTTAATATACAAATTTTCCTATTAAACAAAAAAGTAATCAACAAAAACTCTTGTTGATCTCCTTGATGAACATTTTAGCGAAGAATTTGGTTTTTAAACCGCGTTTTTCTTATTCTCTCATTTTTCACAGACCAGCTACACTGACAAAGGAACCAAAGTAAGTCTAAAAGGATCAACACACATACTTGTATTTAAGAGGACTAATTAAATTCTTTATATACATGTATTTTTGCTCACACTTGTAGCCTGAAGCCGGCAAATTTTTAAGCTTTGATCATCTGACTTTCTACGTTGGTAACGCCAAACAGGCGGCCAGCTACTATACGACACGCTTGGGTTTCGAACCACTTGGCTACCAAGGATTAGAGACAGGAGAACGACGGTATGCGAAGCATGCAGTGCGTCAAAACAAGATCGTCTTCGTGTTTGTCTCGGCCTACACCACCGATGATGAGCAGCATGGAAGCCACCTGATGCGACATGGTGATGGCGTCAAGGACGTTGCCTTCGAAGTGGAGGATTTGGATGCAATCTTTACTCTAGCTGTGGAACGCGGTGCTGAGGTGGTGCGCGACATATGGGAGGAGCGCGACCAGCATGGCTTTGTGCGCTTTGCCACCATCAAGACGGTAAGTTATACCCATATATAGATTGATTAAGATTAAATATAATATATTTCCGGATAGTACGGAGACACGACGCACACGTTCGTGGAACGTAGCGGCTATACTGGAGATTTTCTGCCGGGATTCCAACGTGCTCAGCCGGATGTGCTGCTCCAGCATTTGCCCGATACAAAATTAAACTTTATCGATCATGTCGTTGGCAATCAGCCCGACTTAGAAATGGAAAGCGTAGCCGCTTGGTATGAACGTATTTTGCAATTCCATCGTTTCTGGTCCGTGGATGATTCACAAATCCACACCGAGTACTCGGCCCTACGCTCCATTGTAATGGCGAACTATGAGGAGACGGTGAAGATGCCCATTAATGAGCCGGCAAATGGGAAAAAGAAGTCTCAGATACAGGAGTATGTCGAATATTACGGAGGTGCTGGCGTACAGCACATTGCTCTCAATACGGATGATATTATAGCTGCTGTTTCAAATCTGCGAGCTCGCGGCACTGAATTTCTGACCATACCCGCTTCATATTACGAAATACTTGAAGAGCAGTTGTCGAACAGTCGCACCAAAATCAAGGAAGATATGGCCATACTAAAGAAGCTGAATATACTTATTGATTTCGATGAGAACGGATATTTATTGCAGATCTTCACCAAGAACTGCCAAGATAGGCCGACATTATTCCTGGAGGTTATACAGCGCTACAATCACAATGTATGTTTGAATCGCAGTCAAATTTGTCTAGCTAGGACACCCATTTCTATAATTAACAAAGTTAGACAAATTTTACTGCTGATATAAAGAGTTTATGGCACAGTCTAAGAAAATATCTGTTCCTTTTACAGGGTTTTGGCGCCGGCAACTTCAAGTCGCTCTTCACAGCCATAGAAATTGAGCAGGCAAAGCGTGGAAATTTATAAATTTTAATACTTAATGTATAATAAATGCAATGTAATTACAAAAGGCCTCTTACGATTAAATCACTGCTGTCGTCTTTTACCAGCAAATCGATTGTCTATTATCACTTCATTGCGTGGATCGTTGGCAGAAAAGGATACCATAAGGGGATTCCAAAATCCTTCTGGTGATTCCGGTCTCATTGCTCGCTCAATGCGGTGCGTGCAGTTTTTCAAATGATTCTTTATTTCCTGCTCTGTTAGTTTTGCGCACATTATGTTCAGAAACTATGGAAAAATTTAATTAAAAATTAAGATGAAGTGAAAAAAATCAAGTACAAAGCTAAATTACCTTTTCGCACTGTGCACAGTCTATATTGTAGCGTTCTTTTAAGGTCAACTCGCGCTTGATAGCTATGGGTCGGGGAAATTCTTCCAGCGTATCTTCTTCCTCCCCATCTAATAGATTCTCAATATCTTCAGGCAATTTTGTAGTCTCATTGCCCATGTCATTACACGTTTGTGGCTCCTCCTTAATGCGAGGTGGGGTTACTTGCTCTTCAATTCTATTGACACTAACATTCCTTTTCTGACATTGTTGTTTCTGCATATCGATCCGTTTAGCTTCGTGCACTTTCAACTGCGTCACTGAATCAATCATGTCTAAGGTGTTCAACTGTCTACCGTCATCTGAGCTGTCATCTACGAATATTATATCTTGCGTAGCAGGCGTCAAAAGGACTACGCTGGAGGTATTTGACGAAGGAATTTGTAGCGTATCGTTTGCCGGAAGTGGCGCCTCTGACACTCCTTGCTTTTCGGGTGAGTTAAAATCGAAGAAGAGCTCGTCATCACTGTCAAAAGTTGGCTCACTGCTTATTGGCTTTTTGCGGTCTTCTGATGTTGACGTGCTGACATTCTTGTTGGTCCTGCAAATCGGGAATCAACGTTGTGGATAAGGAAAGAAACACTTTGATGCTTTACCTATGTAGAAATGAACGCGACTCCTTCGCTTGCTTTAGAGATTTAGCGTACCAACTGGGACTGGCCTCTACAACGTCCTGTTCTTTATCGCACCTGCTTCGGTTGAATTCCAAACGCATTTGCTTTAACTTGGTTGCCTGCGGCTGACTGTTTTTAGCTGTTTTTGTGAATAATAATGGCCTCTGAGCTTTTGGAGTTTTGCCCAGCCAGCTTGTGGTCAAGTTTGCGTCCGATGGTTGCATATTTTCACTTTCGCGCTTAAGCAGTTTGCGACGCACGGAATGAAGCTTGCGGCAAGGACTGCCAGTTGGCAGTCGTTCCGACTCTCCTATGATCTCATCCTCGTCGTCCTCATCGTTTTGCGTCGTAAGCGCAATGTTCATGTTTAAAGAGTCTTGTGTTTGTCCCAGTGGCGAAATAGATTCGCTCAGTTTTGGGCTATCCAATTTCTTCGGGGAGCCACCCAATTTTCTTCGCTTGTCCAAATGAACTTCAGTCGAACGCTGCTGTAACAGCGTAATTGCGTCATTGAGCTTATCATTGCGTTGCTTAAGCGATCTGATTAAAGTAGTTTGCTCCAAGGACAAGCTTAGCTGCACTGCAACCGTAAAAGATATGAAGAGACGCATTAAATTGCATTCATAAAACTGCCTAACTGGAAGCTTACTCTGAAAGTGGGTCCGTAGTATTTCCAAAGCCGATTCCACGCATATTAATATGGATTCTCCGTCTCCTTTACATTTGTCACAAGTCATTTTAACTGTGTTAACTCATTTAATAAATATTGAAGTTGCCTGTATAGTAGGTGCAGTGTTGAAAAACGCGCCTTTTGAGGCTAGCTCCTACTACTATAGGGTGGCAAGGCCACAAACAGCTGATGGCGCTAGCTAGTTATCAATAAGACCGGTGAATACCATCGCTAGCCCAAAACATCGTGTAAGCGAAAAAGTTAAATAATAAGGTATTCAGTATGGCAAACCTACGTGAATCTTCGGACAAAGCCCTAAAACTGCTTCGGACACTGCCACGCGTGCAAATTGGTAATTTGCGTCCGAACCCCAATTCAAAACAGAATGTGAGAAAAGTGTTAAATAATAGTCCAGTTACGACAATTATGAACAAAAATTTTTATTTTGCAGGACAAACGTGGTCGTGCACAACACGGTGGCGACAAGCACGGCGCCGGCAATAAAGGATCTGGACAGCGTCAGAATTTTATGCGTTTGGGTTACGAGACAGGGAACCAGCCCTTCTACTTACGCTTTCCGTACGAGCCCTACTATAAAGGACACCATCTCCGTCGACAGTATCCTCCATTATCGTTGTTGCAACTGCAGGTGTTAATAGACACGAATCGTATAGACATTAGCCAGCCTATTGACATTGCAACGATCTGCAATTCGGGACTGCTGACACTTAAACCAGCCGAGCTAGAATATGGCTTCCAGCTAACCGACCATGGCTTGGATAATTTCAAGGCTAAGATCAATATAGAGGTGCAGCATGCAAGTGAGGCGGTCATAGCAGCCGTTGAGCGCAATGGTGGTGTTATACGCACAGCGTACTACGATCCCCGTTGTCTCCATATACTGGCCAACCCGAAAAAGTTTTTCCAGAAGGGCGTGCCAATACCGAAGCGCATGTTACCACCCCAGGATGCCGTCGCATACTACACAGATGCCAAAAATCGCGGTTATTTGGCGAATCCGGAAGAAATAAGCAAGGAGCGTTTAGTGCTGGCTCAAAAATATGGCTATGAGCTGCCACGGATTGAGGAAGATCCCCAATACGAGATGCTAACGGCAGCCAAAGATGGGCGGCAGTTATTTTACGGTTTGGAGCCAGGCTGGTTAATCAATCTTGTCGATAAAGTCATTGTCAAACCAAAAGAAACGTAGGGTTTTGCGTATTTGTTAAATAAATATCTGATTTATAAAAGACTCAGCATTTGGGGCGAATTGAATGTTAATGTATACAGGTTACACATAATACTACATAAGTGGATTATTTGTCTCTTAAATTCTTTGTCTTTTATATAAACACTTGCTTGGCCGAAAGATTCTCCATAAATGGTTTGACCACGGCGCTTGTTGCAAAACAAAATATTAAGCCAAATGTGATGGATATGGGCAGCGCTGGCAGAGCCTTACGCCAAATTGCTAAGAGCAGAAGCGTCAGACAGAGGCCAATGAGTATTGCCACAAAGCAGGCAATAGTAGTAGTCCAATCACCGTAACTTGAGGCTTTGCCCACCAGGACAGAGTAGAAGATGAAATCGCCTAGACCCAGTTTGATTCCGCCTATATGTGAGGAAGAAAGCGTAAACATGCAGAACATGTAAATGTTCCATTTGCTTCACAAACTTACGTTCCTCCTGTCCCTCTTGTTGAGCGCCTTCATGGGGCGTGGTAACTGTGCGATATTCATTAGATCTTCGCGAGTTTCCGCTGTTACTTGCTTGCACTTCGATTTGACGACGAGCTATCCGTTCATTTAGATTTGCAGACCACTCTTCTGTAAATCCAGCTGCCTCCGCTACAATCAAATGAATATAAAGTGTTAATTATCATACAATTTCAACTGCCATTTAGAGGCAATTAGTAATGTATTGTAGCTACGAGAAAGAGCGCTTACACCATACGACACAACCAACAATTATGAAAAAAAATACAAGCCAAAAAGCAGACAAGATTTGACACAAAAAAAAATAGTCAAATAAAAAAGTGCATATGTACCGTTTCCACGCAAATGTGTTTTAAAAGTCACAAGTGGCATACCTTCAGCCGCCGATGCCTGAGTATCCTGGGTGAGAGTGGAGCGGGTGTTACCTGAGCGTGAGCTGCTAGCTCTCGAATTGTTGCCTGCCGGCGCCACTTCTGGCGAAGCCAGCGAGTTTTGAGTGGCTCGTGTTGTGGTTGTTGAATTGCTGGATGAGGGTGAGGAGATGCCTGTTGGCTGAGACTGTTGAGGCGTATAATGTGTGCCCATGTAAGTATAGATCACAGTTGCTGCAAAAGTTGAAGAACAAAATGAGATGAGGATAACCTAACCATTAGATTAGAAAGTTCATCTTACAGGAATAGATCAAAGCAGGAAAGATTTGTTCATTCCGCTCCTGAGCAGTTTCTACAAGTATGCGAAGCGGTCCACGAGGTGAAAGTACAGCGATGAGATCTGCAACAATCAGTAAGCCTTGTGAATACAACACAAACTCAACGAATCAATTTTAAAATGTACCCCATATGGAGATAGCGGCTAAAACCGCCCACGCAGTCCATTCTGGCAGATACTTAATGAAGACGAGCGCCATGAGCGCAGCCACAAATATCAGATAGCCTTGCTGCAGACGCAGTGGTGCCTGCCAGTGAATAGCCATCATGCCGGCTACTCCAAAGTTCCACATTATGAATAAAGCTGTGGGATAGTCCATTGGTATGTTATAGGCACGCAGCAGTTCCCTTTAAGAAAAACAACATCAATAAGTGCTCTCAGACGGTACATCACATAATAAACTTACTCCAAATACAAATACGTGAAGATGAAGAGCAGCATGAAGGAGGAGAGTATAAGCCAGCCATGAATCACGCGATAGCAGCGCTTCTTGTATAATACAATCAATAGTATGGTCATGACAACAACCACGCTCATAAGAATGAGAGAGTTGGCCAGAGCATTCCAAAACTTAACACTCGGCTCGGGCGAAAGTTCATGAAAGGGCGTGTAAAGACTGTAAGCATTAATTTTTGAATAGAATCTAGACATTAGAGATTGCTCAAAAACCTACAGGTAAACATCGGTGCTGTTGTAAAAGCTAATGGAATTGATGGTGGTGACCACCACCAACATACATAGGGAAACGGGCACAAATAGTTTAATGACGTGCTGAGCGCCATATTTCAAACCCTGCTCCTCTTCGGCTTGTGCATCGGGTGGGCCACCTGCACCACCACCGCTTAATCGTGGTCTTCCTCCGCCACCGCTACCGCTGCCACTTGGTCGTATTACCACATTGGGCACGGCCAGAATGGCCTGCAAGAAGAAAGCGTTAAATTTTCACAAACGCAATATTTTCTGTTTCCACTTACGCCATCAGCCTGATCCACATTGTTGGAGCCATAATTGCTACGGGGTTGTTGTTGCTTTGGACGACGTTCCAAACGCGATGCTGCGCCGCTCAGACCATCAGCAATGCCAGCGCCGCCCGACGAGGACGTGGCATTGACGTGTGCGTCCATTAGCGGTGTGCGTTCGTTCGCCTCCTCAGCGTTCGAGGACCACTTTGATGCCGTAGTTAATAAATTTGTTGCAAATATTTGCAAATGATAGTATTTTCGTCAGTGAAATTTCTTGTGTTTTAGCGAGCGACTCATTGGCAGTGATGGCACATACTTTCAAGTTTAAGTTATCGATAAGCCAATATTAATCAGTATGAGTGTCCACCCATCCCTGACATGCGCGCAACAACAACATTTCGCCCTCACCCCGTGCACAATTTAATCAAATGCTGAAATTGAAATTCGAATTGATGTGAATAAGTATATACATAAGCGTATTTTTATTCGATTTGATTTAAAAAATCGTATCAGTTAAATTTGAACCGGTTGCAGTTACGGTGGCTTCGAGAGTGGCAGCCAATTTATTGCACTTTATTTTCTAGCGGGTCGTTAGTACTTTACTGTTTGTTGCACTTGACGAACAATTTTTATAGACAAAGCGCGTCGGATCGCGTCAAGCAGAATTAACTATAGCAGACTTATTAATAGCTTACGCAAGCAGTCTACGTTTAAATGACCAGAAAGCGAAGCTGAGCCCAATAACAAACAACTATAGAGCACAAAAATGCAATACGAGTGTTTGCTGATATGCGCACTGTTAGCCGGCAATTCGCTTGCTGGCAGTGACATTCAGCGCCATAGACGTGCTGCCGTTGACGTGGACAATGGCCACGCAAAAGAACAACACACTCTTATCGATCTGCCGGACTGCCAGGATCTGCGCAAGTACTGCACGCATCAGAAGACCACGGACAATCTTGCAATGCTGGAATGCGCGACCAGCTTCAGCTCCAGTCAGTTAGAGGCGTTGCCCGATGGCTGCCAACACGCACTATGGCTGCAACAGCGCCAGCTGCAGAGCGACAGTTGGGTGCAACAGGTTCTGCTACCCTCCTACTGCCCTGAGGAGCAGACCAACTTGTTGAGCTGTATGAATGCTGTCGACGTGTGGAGCTGCCTCGAAGACAAGCGCATACTGATGCCTTCGAGCAGTGGCTGCCAACAAGCACTGAGGCGGGCACACGCATCGCTGGTGCCAGAACATGCCGATGTCGTTGATTTCTATAACGTTTGTAGCGATGTAGTGGAGCAATTGCATTGCGGACGCATGAATGTGGAGCATTTGCCATCCGCTCTATCCCAGCTGTCCACAGTGCAGTGTTTACAGGCTGCAGCAACCAAAACGCCAATCGAGGGTCCTTGCAAAATTGCCATCAATGTCATTGAGCAACAGCGCGGCATGTTAGAGCTGTTCCACACATGTGCTGCGGATTTGTCGGCACTTTGTCCAAAGGTTTGATATTTGGCAGTAACAGCATGCTTATTACTAACTTTATGTTTTCCCCTAACAATAGGAACACATTGGAACGGCCGGTGCTTACAAGTGTCTGGTCAAGCACAAGAACGATCCAAAGCTCACTAAAAACTGTGCCTCAAAGATAGCTCAACGTGATCAGCAAATGGGTCGAGACTATCGTGTGTCGCATGGCCTGGCCAAGGCGTGCAAAGAGGACATCAAGCTCCACCATTGCCGCCGTGGCGTCTCTGAAGACAAACAGGTGCGACTAGCGCAAATTTTGTTGTGCCTGGAGTCAGTGGCCAAGAATGGCACAAAGGTCACGTTGGCGCCTGAATGCCTGGTGGAGATAAGCGATCATCGTCGCATGCTTTTGACTGACTATCAGCTATCACCAGAGCTGCTTAGCGATTGCGCCGATGACATACCCAAATTTTGTCCCGAGGAGCATAAAGCACAGTTGGTAAATGGTTTCACTAGCACTGGCGGGGAAATTATACACTGTCTGATGGATCATGTACGTGCTCGACGGCCCCAACGACGTGTAACAGCCCAGTGCCAACGCGGCCTGGAAATGCTTATTAAGGTCAGTGATGCTGGGGAGGACTGGCGAGTTGATCCTGTGCTAAGACGCGCTTGCAAACCAGTGGTGGATGTGGCCTGCAAAGATGTTGAAGGCGGCGAGGCGCGTGTCATGAGCTGCCTGCTGGAACACATAGGTTCGCAAATGATGTTGCCCGAGTGCGAGCAGGCGCTGCTTCTAATCGAGTACTTTGTGGCGCGAGACTTTAAATTAGATCCACAGTTGTATAAGCATTGCAAGGATGATGCCATCAAATATTGTCGTGCCAAGCGCCACTGGGATGATTCACAGGATCCCCAAATGGATCCCGAGCGAGGACCTATGATACTGCCCTGCTTGCATCGAATGGCTTACAATGAGGACGATCAACAAACGCTGCGCAAGGATTGCTTCAAGGAGGTGAAACGTGTGATGAGACAGCGCGCAATATCTGTGGATCTTATGCCCGAGGTAGAGGACGCCTGTCTCTCGGATTTGTCGCTTTTCTGTGCCGATCGCACTGAAAAGGGTGCCGAGATGGAGTGTCTACAAAACAAACTGGAGGAACTAACGCCTGACTGCAAGGCAGCAGTTACAAAATTTACTGAAGAAGAAGCAGGAAACATAGAGCTCAATCCGGTTATAATGGCAGTTTGTGGTCAGGCAATGCAACAGCACTGTTCAGATATCCTCAAGAGTGGCAAAGACAAAGGTAGGCTTACAGCTCTTTATGCTTATCAGAACTAATTGTTGTCGATTTATGTAGGAGAAATGATGGACTGTCTGGTGGCCCATAAAAATGATGCTGATCTACGTCAGGACCTTCATTGCCACGCCGCCATCGAACACTTTCAAATCATTTCGCTGAAAAGCTATCATTTTACCTACAAATTCAAGGAGGCCTGTCGACCATATGTGACTCGATTTTGCGCTGCCAGCGCCACCAAGAACGAGGTCGTTGCTTGTCTCAGTGAGGTCAGTAATAGTCTTATTAAAAGTCATTTATTCAAATGAACTGAATTATCCGCGAAAGTTCGTAAGAAACTTAATACTTTTCTTCAGTTAATGTAAATTGTATCACATTTGAAAATGTTTATTTTCATTTGAAAGGTGATGCGCAATGATACAATACGTGGAAAGCGACACCAAATACCCAAGGAGTGCCGACAACAGGTCAAGTCTCAGCTATATCAACAACGTGAGAGTATTGTGCTCGATCCCAAGCTTGGCAAGGCCTGCAAACGCGAGTTAGAGAACTTCTGCTCCGATAAAAAGGGTCCCGGTCAGGTGAATAAAAATGCAAGTCGCCCATCTCTCACTTAACACTCTTAACACAACCACTTTCCATTATTTTATATTCTACCTTTAGTTAGCTCTTCTTTTTACAAGTCGTTTTAAATTTCTATAAACAGGCTCTCGAGTGCTTGATGCAACAGACACCACGTCTGGGTATGGATTGCCATCACGCCATCTTCATGGTGAAGAAATCCGAGCTAGCAGACAGTGAAACCGATTATACACTGATTAACACCTGTAAAGAAATGACATACAAATTTTGTCCAGACACCGACTCTGTCAAACTATTGAGCTGTCTAAAAACGTACAAGGATGATCCACAATTTGATCCGCGTTGCCATTTGGTGGTGGTCAATCGTATGATAGAACAGAACACGGATTTCCGCTTTAATCCAACGCTGCAGAGTGCCTGTGGCAAGAATATTGATCGCTACTGCTCGAATATTGTGGCCACGGCGCAGCCAAACGAGGAGCTCAACGGGAAGGTAAGCTATGGGGAATATCTCAAGGGCTATCTAATCCATACAAAATTACCGCGATGTTCGTTAAGAGTTCAAAGAGAATTTACGAAGTCGGGAAATATGAAAATTAGGCCACCAAAGAAAGTATCGCCATATGCAAGTACTTGTATAAAGGAACAGTAAAATATTTATAAAAACAAAGATCACAATTCAAATGAAACAAAATTTAATAACTTTTTCCAAGCAAATTATAGATTATTTAAATTAATTTTTTTATCCAACAGAAAATTGATAACAGATTTCAGCAACAATGACAATTTCTAGGCGCATCCAAGAATTATTAATACTAGTATTATAGAAAGCTTCAAAAGATTTGTACTTTTTACAACAAATTTACGTTAAATTCTTTCTCAACATCCAGACAAATTGTTGAAAAATTTAAATAATAAGTGTATTACTATGTTTGTATTATCATTTATTATTATTATATTTAACAGGTATTGCATATATATTTAGATTCTTGTAGATTCAAATAAGGCTTTCACAGAATTTATGCTTATCTGGACACTCTTCCTCAGAAGACTTCGTGCATTTTTAATATTCTAATATTAAAACAAAAAGTGGATCTATCCAATATTAATAGCGCTGTTACCACGTCCCTTCGCTTACGGCTCTTATTATGTACGCACAAGTCTCCAATTGTTGGGATCATCAATGGTGGCCGTTAGCGTTTCTAATATATCTGCTCCGACTTCGACGTTAAGTCCTAGCCAGTTATAAGGTCCGCTCGTGCTGGTTAAAGCATTTAAATCCTGGGGTACACCGGTACGTGCAAATGAAGTCCAAATCTTAGCCATTTGCTGTGCCATACGTGTATCCTCACCCTCCAGAGGATGCGTAGCGAAGAGATATATGTTATCATTCGAATGATGAACGCCACCGTTGAACGGATACTGATCATTTCCAAACTCATAGCCGAAACGCGTGTAAGCGCCCTCGTATTCAAAACTGTAGACATAGATGGGTGCGTCCGGTTGCCTGACATGCAGTTTGGTCGCCAGACTTATGACGGGCGATTTCATAAAGATGTCGGAGGTGAGCTAAAATAAACAATAGATGATCAAAATCGTTTGATCAAAAACCGTAAAAATAGACCAACATCGAAGTATGAGGGTATAGCTTCCTTATGGGCCTGACTTTGTAGTAAAAAGGGAGTATATAGCAATCGATAAAGCAGCTGATCCGTTAGTCCGGTCGTATCGTTGACCATTGCTATTAAACCTTCAGATAGCTGACGTACACTCAAATCGCTTATGTTGACGCCCTTGGCATCCAGTCCATCATAGTAGCCTGTTAAAAAACTGGTTATTATTATCATGCTCTACTGCTGGCTGATCATAAGTACTTACTGGCCAAGACAAATGATCCATCGTGTTGGGTAAAACCCGTCATAAGTGGAACTTTTCTATTGTACTGCTTTACAAGTTCGTTCGGATTTTGTGGCAAAATGTCCTGCAAATCACCAACAACGGGGGAAAAGGATTCAGATTTGGTAGCCTCCAGTATATCACGTACCGATGCTCCAAGTATACACAAGAGCAATATCTTATCATTCCTTTCACAATCGGTGCAGCCCAGTGCTTGGCAAATTCGTATTGCTTGCGCACTGGGATCTTTGGTTACGGCCCATCCTGCAAAAATTGACCCCGACTGCACAATGGCACGTTGAAAGAGGCGATTATCAGCCGTGCGTGGGCTCAACAGCAATGCGCTGGTTACACCAGCACCGGCACTTTGTCCAAAAATGGTCACCTGCTGTGAATCACCGCCAAATACGTGGATGTGCTGTTGCACCCATTCCAGAGCCAACAGAATATCGGCAATTGGTGCATTTCCGGGCAATTGCTGGCTGTAGTTTGTCAACCAGCCCAGGGCTCCCACTCTATAGTGGGGAACCACTAGCACCACATCATGCTCAAGCAAGTAGTTAGGCGGATGATCGGATGACGAGCCATTGTAGTAACCCCCGCCGTAGACATAAAACATGACGGGCTGACGAGCCGTTAGCTGTTGGAATACAGAGGGTATGCTTATCGAAAATAACTGCATATGAAGTCTAGGTATAGTGAAAATCCTATTTCTTCGCGTTGTAAACATTGTATACTTATGGATTCCTAAATCTGTTTTATCGAAACCTCACAGGGGGTGACCAGATAAGGGTTGAGATGTTGCGAAATTTTTCAATATTTTTCATCATCCAAAATAAGGTGTATGCAAAGTATTTTAGTTAAATCTAGACCTATCCCTCGGAAAGTCTCTTTAAGAAAGTTATACGCCAAATTGGTGACCTAAAAATAATTTACTGCTTATAAAATTTGAATAAATAGTTTAATTCATATGCTTTTTTCTTTAAGCATAGTTCATAAGAAAATTTCCCAAATCTGTTTTCCGTTAATAGATCGAAATCAATTCCTACGAACATACAAAATTATATAACTCATCTCGTGAAATTTGACAATTTAGTGGGAATCGGAAAGGTAACCCAAAGTCGAACTCAAAGAATAAGGCTTTCTAATTAATAGAAATTAGCCTGAAAGCGTTTATCAACTCACATTTTTAGTGTAAATACACAAATTCAAACAGTCCTCCAATTGCGCATCCGACGCTAGTGGATCTAGGTTAGTGATTACCGGGCAACGTCGTCCATAGTTCAGCCCGTTGAATGTATTTGACCAGGGTGAGCGTGGAACAGGTGGCTTTTAGGCAGATGGGTGGAAACACGTCAATTATATTATTATATATCATAAAGTCGCTTATCAGCTGGTCGTGTGCGCTAATTGGACCGCTACACGCCCAACTGTTGTTAGACAGAATAAGTGGTGCGACCCTTCCCCCAACTACTCACGCGAAAACGCAGCTTTTTCACGGGAGCCTCTGCATAGGGAACGCCACGAAATTGCATAAAACTTTGTTGTGTCCACGAGGTGCGATCATAATTGCCTAAAACTGCACCTTGACCGCCCTCCAGATGAACTGTAATCGTTGGCTCAGTTGTTTGAGCATCAGCGGTGCCGCTGCTGCTAATGACGATCCAGGTGATCAGAACTGCGCTCAAACAGCCGCAAAGTGCCAAAATCATGTATAGGCCGCGTCTAGGCATCGATCTAAACTGAACGACAGCGAATGATGTTACACATACAAAACATGTGAACCAGAACATCGTTATCGCTTAAAACCCTTTCAATTGTTTGACATAATCGTAACTAATTAGCCTGCTATATTCTCTTGTTCTCTCTTTTCCTCTCTCGATTTATTTTGTTTGCAGGTCATAAAATGTTTGAAGGCGAAGTTCCGGGAATCTCGATTGGATGAGCAGTGCGCTAAGGAAATGATTAAAATATTGCAGGAGCAGGCGTTGAACTATAAACTGAATCCGTTGCTGCAGCATTTTTGTAAATCAGAAATTCAGGAGCTATGCAAAATGCACATGGACGCCGATGAGCATGGACAGGTAGAAGAGTGCCTCAAAACAGCCTTTTTGCAGAAGCAGCTTATCAATCGCGAATGCCAGATGGAGGTCGCCTCTCTAATTGTAGAGGGCAAGGCAGATATTCACGTTGATCCCGTACTAGAGACGGCGTGTACGGTGGATTTGTTGCGCTACTGCTCCAAAGTTAACAGTGGAAGTGGACGCAGTAAGTAGTTTGTAAAGATTATGGCGCAAACATAGAATACTGTAACTTGTTGCTCTCCTCTTTCTTACAGAATTAACATGTCTACGGATGCTATTGCGGGAAACGCCGAATTCACTCGATCAAGACTGTCGGCAGAAGTTGCAGCAACGCATTGAAATGTTTAACAATGCCGACAGTGCATTGGGGCCGCCTGAGGACATGCAGCAGCTAGTGCAACAGGTTGTCACATCACCTTCGCGGAAGTATTTCCTTGTGATATTGATAAGTGCGACAGGCATGGTCTTTTTCATGGGAATCTTTCTGGGACGCGCCACCAAACGTGCAATGAGCTTAAAGAATAAGTAGACTGTAGTGAGTAAATAGTAGCTGAGTAGTAGCTTAAAGTCTAAATAGTAGTCAGAAACTGATGATAAAACGAATGAATGACTTAATTTTTGTGCTAGCATGAAAGTAATGAATAGCGCTTCCTTTCCAATGTAAATCCCGCACATAATATTTTTGTATATGTTTTCATTGAGTTTTCCATTGCGTACAGCTATTTTCATAAGCAAACTGTGGCTTAATCGTTTGTAAGACCAAAAAAGTGTATTTTGAATTGTATAAATTGTGTTTTTTATAAATTGTACTAACGTTCGTTTTAATTAATCGGTATCGTTATACGGCTATCGAAGAACCTTATAGTGGCCCTAATAGTGTACACACTGTTCGACAGTGTTGCCATACGCGAGCACTGTCTTTGTCGAGTATGTGCGTGTGTTAATTGGAACGCGAAAAAGTTGGCTGCTGTAACAAAAATCTTTACTTATTAGCATAAACTAGATTTTAATATTCATTAAATCATTATGCAATAAAACAAGTGGACAATAAACTGAAGTGCAATGTATTTGAAAAACTAATGGTAACTTCTGTATCGCCAAGTAAGCAGCACAGTTTGAAACGCACACACACACACAAACGTTCACGACAGGGAGGCACAAAACAAGTTCTAATAAGAAAAAGAAAGCCCAAACAGTGTAGGGGGCAAGGCACCAACACAAAGAAGCAACAGCTTGCAGTGGCTTTGTGATGGGCACAAGCGGTGGCTTTAAAACCGAAGGTAAGTCGAGCACGCACGCACAACGAGGCAACACCTTGAAAACTCGTATATGTTGTTTTTGATTTTGTTGTTGCAGAACCCAGACCAATGGCTTTGAACCATTCAAGCAGCAGCAACAGTGCTAGTAGCGTGAGTGTTGCCTCCACCAATGCATCGGCCGCACAATTGGTAGCCAGCGGCGCGGCTGCCAGCTCTGCGGGTAACACTTCACTAAGTGTCGAACTGTGTTTGGTATGTGGCGATCGTGCCTCCGGACGCCACTACGGCGCCATTAGCTGTGAGGGATGCAAGGGATTCTTCAAACGCTCAATACGGAAGCAGCTGGGCTACCAGTGCCGGGGAGCTATGAACTGTGAAGTGACGAAGCATCATCGGAATCGTTGCCAGTTCTGTCGGCTGCAAAAGTGTTTGGCCAGCGGCATGCGAAGTGATTGTAATTTTCGTTTAAGTCGTCGTCTCAAAATGCACACAAACCCACTTACCCACATACACACGCATGCTCTTAATCACAATCTTGCACACACACACACATAAATGCACACTCACCAACCGCAGCATAAAACCGCCGACATCACATTAAGCACCGTTAGAGCTGACACGCTTATTAATTCCTCTTTCTTTCCTTCAATATTTTTTTTTTGTATACCTACAGCCGTACAACACGAACGGAAACCCATTGTCGATAGGCGCGATGCTAGCGTTGGCGGCAACAGCGCCGCCTCCTCATCCTCCAGCAGTGTTGCGGCCACCAACAGTTCTTCCAGCACCAAACCCAATTACCAACAGCAGCCGCGGAACAAGCAGCATGTCAGTACAGCTGCTGCCAGCGCTGCTCTTTTTCAGCATGCGGCCAATACGCCACCAGTGCCAAGCACGACAGCCACTGCTTTTGGACTAGCTGATAACCTCTTTCCCATGAGCCTGAATTTCGCAGAACTCACACAGACTCTGAGTGAGTACCAATGATCTTTCCATTGAAGATTCCAGTAACAGTACGTATTCTCATTTCACAGTGCTCGCTTCACAGCAGCAGCAACAACAACAGCAACAACAACAATCTAGCAGCGCCACAAGCCACTGTTATTCGCCCGAGCCCAAGGCCGATGTGGACGATGAAGATGATGACTCCATGGACAACAGCAGCACATTGTGCCTCCAGTTATTGGCAAACAGCGCCAGCAATAATAATTCACAGCATTTAAATTTTAATGCTGCTGCGGCGGAAACATTGCCGACCACAGCCACTGTGGGTCTTATACAAAGCTCCCTGGACAAGCGTGTCATAGACAAAGCTTTGCAGATACTGCAGCCCATACAGCAGCATTTAGAGCGGCACAGTGGTAATCAGAGCAGCGCCTCTGTGGCAACACTCAATATTAAACATGAATGCGACTCGGATGCCGAGGACAGCGGCACAGAGGATGTTGATGCAGACCTAGAGCACATGGATTTGGACATTGATTTTTGCAATCGCAGTGATTTTGTGGCCAGCGAAGCGATCTTCACACAGGACTTGCTAACGGATGCACAGTGCGCTTTTCACGTACAACCGCCAACATTGGTCCACTCGTACCTCAATATGCATTATGTGTGCGAAACGGGATCTCGTATTATCTTCCTTACTGTGCACACCTTGCGTAAGGTGCCGGCTTTTGAATTGCTGGATGCTCATACACAAGTGAAATTGTTGCGTGGAGCTTGGCCAGCTTTATTGGCAGTAGCGCTAGCCCAGTGCCAACGTCAACTTTCTGTCTCTACAATCATTGGTACGCTTATCCAGAGTGTGCGTCAGCTAGCGGACATTGATAAAATCGAGCCGCAGAAGATCACAAAGCTGGCTCAGCTTACCCGTACTTTGCATGATTTCGTGCAGGAGATGCAGACGCTTGATGTGAGCGATATGGATTGTGGACTTCTGCGTCTGATTTTGCTTTTTAATCCGCTTCAGTTGCAGCAGCGTCGGGAGCGTCAGTTGCGTGCTTATGTAAAGCGTGTGCAGCTTTATGCTTTGTCGACACTTAGGCGGCAGGGCGAAGAAAGGTGCAACTCATTGTTTGCCAGCCTATTGCCCTTAAGTGGCTTGGAGTCGGATTTAATGGAGGAGCTGTTTTTTGCAAATCTGGTGGGTCAGATGCAAATTGATGCTATGGTACCCTTCATTCTGATGATGTGCAGCAGTAGTGGACTGTAGGAGAGCAAGACTGACGAATGGATTGGGAGTAGATGGCTGAGCGTAGGGGGGGCCAATCGCGCCTAGTGCGGACAATACTTAGATATAATTATAATATATAATTACATACATAGATACACATACACCTGCATTAAAATATATGAAGTGCAATTTTAGTGTATTACACTCAAGAGGCGGCAACGTCCATTTATTGTCTAGATCTAGAACAACTAAAACTAATGAGGATAGGGGTTGGACATGACGTCACTGCGTTCCCTCTATACTTTGTGCAGCCTTCGGCGCTGGCTTGTACTTGTTGTGCACTTCATTGTTCAAACCCTCACGGTTACGGGCAATTTCAATGGCCAGGAATTGAACGCGGAATACGAAAATCGAATTATCTGGCGAGAATTCCTTGCTAGCATCGGCACGCATTAACGTACCATATGAATAGTCTTCCATTTTGTTAAACTTCTCTGCGAATTGACGCCATTTCAGCTTCTCTGTAGCCGATTTTAAAATTTCATCAGAAAGAAATCCTACATTTAAGTCCGGAAAATCCTGCCGGAAAGTAGTGTAGATTTGATCGTCGTACGGTGTGAGCCGTAGTGTTGAAGGATGAACGCTTGTTAGTAGCTACATACATAAATAAGCCAAGGTGAGGAAGATCCGCTAGGTAGGGTAGATTTTGTCACTCACATTAAAATGAACTTCCGCGTGTTCCAGAGCTTTGGCTGCCCACATTTCCTCAACAAGCGAATCATTGCCGAATTCCTCTGCCGGTCTCGAGAGAAGCGAAGCACCCTTCTGTGAATGTCCTGAATTAAATAACTTTTATTTGTCGTTGGTAAGCTTACTTACCATAAGCTCCATTTTAATAGACTGTAAAATTCAGATAAGTCGGATCTAGTGTTCAATATTTTAATACATTTATTTTTGCCATTCACTGTAAGTAAATGTATTTTGTGATGTGCAAAGTGAAGCCTGTATTTATCGATAAGTTTTGTGTAGTTTGGAAATTAGAAATTTTATTCAACCGACCAGTTGAACGTTTGTTGACAAAGTCAGTTGTATTTCGGATGTAAATTTTACATATATTACAGATTAACATTTATTATGTACATAACACACTGAAAATTTTCTGGCAAATTTCATTATGTTTGAGAGCATAAGTTTTCTGTTTCTGTTCGCTTTGGCTTTTACTACATGGGCTCTACTTTGTTATTTACACGTAATTGAGGATCAAAAACGTGAATTAGAGGATTACAACTACAGCATTGAACTATACTCAGGTAGATATGATATGAAGACTATTATATTGAGTTTAGTTAACTTTTTGCGTATTAGAAAAACCTGCTATTAGACGCATGCGTCATTACCAATTCAAAGATAGTGGACCGAAAGTGGAAAGCTACAGCTTCAATATGGTCACCAGTTTTCTTTTCATATTTGTTGCTACAATCGGGGCTTCGAAATTGCTGCAATGGCTTGAAATACAGGCCCGAAACTATATGCAATTAGAAGTGGTGCAGGGCACAGAGGAAATGCCAAAGTCGAATCCACAAGAAGCTATTGCTGACTTAACCAAGATACCCATGCAGGCCTTGGAGGACAGTAGAAGCTTAACGAAGACAGACTTCATAGCAGAAAGCGTCGAATTTAAGGATCAGTTGAATTCTTTAGAGGCACGGTGCATGGAAATGCATCAACTGCTTGTAGACCTGAAGCATCAACCGACGAGCAATGACTCCGGCAGCCAACTTTATCTTTCAAATGATATGAAGGATGAGGATGTGACTATGACCGTATTGAAGGCGCCAGTTAGCTTGGCCACTAGTGCAGAATCGGTAAAACATGCGCCTCAAGTTACACGTTCACAACCGACAATTACGCAAAATGTTTATATCGCTAACAGTTATATACAGATAAACGTTCCTACGTTTTACACAAAGCGCGATATAAATATGAATTTGCGTCGGCAGGCTTCGATGTATACTCGAAAACAAAGTGAATTTTTGCAGGTGTGGGGCAAGTTTATAGCTGGCCCGAAGGAACAGCCCATGGCAGCGGGAATGCGAGTGAACAGTTTGTTAATGTGAATATTGTCAAGAAATTGGGTAAAACCCCCAACATTAAAATGTACACAATTGTCTTAATTTGATTTTTAAACGAAATAGTGATCAGATAGGGAAAGCCGTCCGTTACTACAATCGATAAGTTGCGCGCCATACATCGGTAAGCATTCACATATCGATAGTTTTCTTCGCAGAGTTTGATTGCGCGACGGCATTCACAGTTAGTTTTAAAGTGCATGTGCCCGCGCTCAGTTCGGATAAGCCATAGCGGATAAATGGTCTATTGTTTTAGTGAAGTGCATTTGGATAATAAATGTAAGCTAGATGCTAGACTAGAAAACTTAAATTAAATACACCTATTAATGTAAATGTTGACGTATTTGACACACTATAAAAACGGGGCGACCTGTGTAGCAAACGATAACCGTCGCCATTTCGCGTATTGCTGTATTCGTGTGTGATGCGCTTGTTGCTTGTGTGTATGTGTGTGTACGATCGGGCTAGTAAAACGCAGCAGTGATAAAAAAAGTGAAGTTTAAGCAAAGTAGAAACATACTCTCCGTATCAAAAAGTTGCTCGTTGTGTGTTGTGCATAATAAATGTTCCGCTACCGTCGGCACGCCTGTTGATGCCGTTTCGTCACGTTTATAAAATACATATTTGTTACTGCACTTTTGTTGTTTGTGTTTATGTTTTGTTGTAGGAATGCACCATGCAACGCAAAACAAGTGTACTTGCTGACCGAGAGATGACGCCCACAACGCACCTCTTGCGTTTGTTTACTATCAGTTTGGCATTGTAGAGTTGTCTTGAGTTCTTTACGCCCACCCACTGCTTAACGTTCTGTGTTTTTCTCGCTATATACATATCTGTGTACATCCGTACATATATGCCTATGTACATACATATATACATACATACATGCATATGTATCTTTATAAATCGTATACAAATGCGGCTGTCAGGTGCATTGTTTGCCTTGTGCGCTTGAGCATTATCGCAGACACAAATGCAACCTGAGGCTGCCGCGCGTTTTTACACAAATAATCATTCAAAAACCATGAATGGTCTTTCACTCCACCTTTAAAAATTATATTTTAATTAAATGTTTATACCCTGTAGCAAAAGGGTGTAATGGTACATAAATGTTAGTGCAAATGTATGTCTGCCTGTATGAACTCAAGTATCTCGGGAAGTCTGAGAGCTAAAACATGGGGTTTTCTGTTGCACCCCTACTCCTCCGATTTTAGTGACTTTTTCCATATGATAGGAAATTTTTTGTTTTTTTTTGTTTCTTAATTGTTTGACAATTACGTGCGGTTGGTGCTTATGTGTCCACGTATCAAGTTCCATCGAGATACATAGGTCAACTCTCATATGCCGGTAGCTGCTGTTGTTGTTCCTGCTTCACCGGCAAACATTTAATTAGGTTCCTCATCATTAAATTTGCAGATGCGGGGCATCTTATCAAGTAGTTTTGCAGTTGCCACCCGTTGCCGAACGGTTTGGGATTATAAAACTTTTCCAATAGCATTCTTAAAAGATAGAGATAGCTTCGCTTAGTCAATATAACGATGCGATCGTCGGCAAGCGATCGCGAGTTTATTTTATTTTTTTATTATGTGCAGTTTCGCCGGTAACGCGACAGTTTTACATTTATTATAGGAGACCACTGTAATTTCAATTATGCTTATGCGATGCTGGTAGCAGCGTGATTCGAGCCAGAGCCTACTCTGAAACAAACATGGTGGAATTCGTGCTAGATTTTCAAGTGCTTTCTCCTATTTTAAACTATCAGGAAGGAAATTTTGTGACCGTTAATGTGGCAGTGAATATTTACATATATATTACTTCATCTCAGAGCCTTCGAATGAGGTACAATATTCCAAGGGATTGGTTAAATAATAGCGGATATACAGAATATTAAATGCGTCATAAAAATGTTCTGATTTTCTAAGAAGCAGCCACAACAACAACTGAGCAGTGATATTTTTAAATTGTCAAATTTGATGCAAAAGTTTATATAATGAAGAGAGGTGTGGAAAATCACTAATATAGGTGGTGTGGGGGAATGCGTCAGGGAAAAACACAGCAAGATCCTTGTGTTCATGAATGAAGTTATCTCGCCATACAGATAAATATATATGTATATATGTACATATATATATGCAAATAAATACATACTTCGCACTTAATATACTAGTTATATTAATTTATTCTCAGGGTACACATAATAAATCCTTTTACATCTGAGATTACCACTGCCTGTTGTCAAAAACCTTTTTTTTTGTCGCTTCTAGTTAAATACAGCAAAGGAATTATAAATATGTTAGTATTTTTTGCACAGCTTAAATTATTTGTGTTTTGCTTCTGCCACATGTTTGCTTTTTGGCTAATCTATAAATAGCGGAGCGACGCGTCGCTCCGTTCTGCGCCGTTCGTGCCGCTTGTTTGTGGTGCGCTAATAAAACAGATCATGATCACTCTCACTATCTATCAGCGGACCCGAATTCGGCTTGCGGCTTGCGCGCTCTCTGAGCTTGAATGCATACGCATGTGTGTAAAACACACACATATACATATATGTGTGTGTGCACTCTTCACTCGGCTCTTTTTATACCCTTCACTAAACAGTTTAAGGCTGTATTGTTTTTAGTGTGTTACTTTCTAACACAATGAAGAGCGGAATCCAAATGCCCGTCTAGGCTTTTTAGCGATGGTCAGCGATAATAGTCGTATGTGTATATATACATATGTATGTATGTATGTAAAAACCGAACATCTTAAATAGCTGTCAAGGAAACCGTATGATATTGTATGAGCACCATGTTTTTTGTTTATAAACATATTGGAATCTAACCGCAAATTGAGAATGATTTGTTTTTGAGAATGTTTGCTGCTGATTGTGGGTCGTGCGTTTACGAAAGATTTTGTATAAATCGAGAATTTGTTGTTGTAACGCCCGGTGAAGCGTATATGTATTATTAGTTCGTTTCTTGTTTTCCTTTTTTTTATTTATTTATTAAATTTCTCTTAGCTTAACCATTGCTGGTCTCTACCCAACGCTAGTTTTGAGTTGATTTATGCCACTGTGCGCTGCAGCATAGTTGCCTCACGCTCTTTGTGTTGAATCATCATCATCAACAAGTTGTTGTTGTGTTCTTATTGTTGTTGTTGTCTATTGTCATATACGTTTTGTTTTATGCATGTGGCCTGCCCTGCGCTCAGGGCTGGACACACATTTAAGTTACTTGTCTTCTTTCTGTACCTTTTTATGGAGCAAAAGTCAAAGCAAATTTAAAGCGGAAATGCATTCTCTTCTTCATAAGTACATATGTTCATGTATGTGTATCTATCGTATGTTCTATAATAATGAAAACCGCAGCCCACCCACAAATGTATAAATACATACTTAAATGTGTATGTATGTATGTATGTAGGCATATAAATAAATACATACAGATACACAAGTTAAACTGCGCTGCTTAAGCTAGCGCCGACTACGGCACCAGCGTCGCCCATAATAAAGATTAACGCATTTCTTATCAAGAGCGTTGATAGCAGCCGCAACAGCGAAAGCGAAAAAGACGGCCGCAACAACAAAGCTCGCTTTTTGCTTGTTTGTTTGTATCGCTGAGCCAGAGTTTCGCACACACATACACACGCACATACACACTGATATCTCACGCGCCACAGTCGCTGTGGCTGCTGTCGTTGACTTGGCTGATTAGCATTAACTAAACTACAACAACTAAGTATAACACATGTCTATATTTTTTGTATTATATGTGTATTACTTATTTGTTTTCTGGTTTTTTACTCGTCTTACACATACACACACAAATGCAGCCCGAAACGAGTCAAGCTGATTCGATTTGAGCCGAAGCGAGTAAGTCAAGCCGAGCCTGTCGTCGACACTCGCTTTATTTTTGCGCTGCTGCTGATAAAATAAAGAACAATATTAATTTGAGTTTAAAAATAGAACTTCGCTGCAGATGCCCTGTGTGTGCATATATGCGAGTGAGCAGCGAAAAAATGAGAAAGCACCACTAAAAGTTGCTCCCCTCAGAGCAACAATAATAAAAACAACAGCATACGGACAGTGTTGAAAATTGTTCAGCGTTAAGAAAAGCTGAATCAGAATTTGAAAAAAGGTTGAAAAAGACTTGATTCTTCATTTTATTACAATATATTTTATAATCTATTTTTGTATCACGATATGAAGTTTCTAGCCAGTATCTTTATCAATAAAACAGATTTTCATGCAAGACGTAATTTCATCTAATATGAATGTTTTTGTAATTAATTATTAAGGGTATAGTAGGTTTTTTTTCGAAGAAATTTGTGTTACGTGCTTTGTAAAAACACTATGAATCCCACCATTAGCTATTTAAAAAACGTTCGCTTCTCGTATATTTCTAAAATACCAGATGTGGTGGGAAAATAGCTGAATTGGCAACACTGCGCACGATCGGCTTGGGCTGCCAGTGATTGCGCGCTCTCTCGGGCTTACTCGCACGCACACATTCAACCGTTGATCTGCAGTTTCAATTAACACATGCGCACATAGACACTCACACAACCACGCCATCTCAATACTCATACGCCGAGTAGACGACTCGCTCACTCGGTCTCCACTCAGTTCTCAGTATTATTCTATTCGCCTTCGTGTCAAGTTGTGTTTTAATGGACTGCTGCGGCAAACAACGCGCGCACACATACATATTGCCGATATACATACATATATATGTACATATGTATGCATGTGTTTTAATATATATTTTTTCTGATTGGATTGGGTAAAAAAAAAAATAGTGCGCCACTTGCGCAGCGGTTCGTCGGTCGGTCTCTGTAAAAAGAAATCTCTAGTTAATATCGTATTTATGCAACAATTTTGAAATATACGCATGAGTGTGTGTGTGTGAAAAAAAAATCATTATAAAATTGAAAACAAATGTGTTAAAAATAATATATACATACCTACATACATACATATGTATGCATTTACATATCTATTTGCAGTTTCAATGAAGTGCAGAAAAAACGCAAATTGTGATAATTATATTGTATTTTCGTTTTTTGTTTAGTCACAACCGCTCTCCTCGTGGTTGTTGGTATTGGATTGCCGCGGTCGACGTAGTGTTGAAGCTGAGGCTGCAGTTCTTTGTGTGCATGCGTGTGAGTGTTTGTGGGCGTGTATGTGTGCATGTGCATAGTGTAATCATAAAAATGCGGAAAATTCTTAGAAAATGTGCATGAATACCCATTGCAAATTTTGTACAAACTATATTTGTGGTTTTCCCTTCCGAAATCAAACGAATCGCAAAAACGTTTGCTTTTGAATTACAGAAATACGTAGATAACGACTCTTTGATAAGCCCTCGAGCACATCTTTATCTCGGCTATTAAAGTACATACATTTGTGTACGTACATACATACATCTGTAGATATAGGTGTATATTTATAGATAATGTAAATAATGGTTCCTTAAATACCGCCGAGATAGCTTGAAATCTCGATAACTTTTTCAAATACATATGCACTTAATATGTATGGATGAAGCAACACTAATCACCATTTAAGTGTACATTTTGAAATCCCCAACACTTTAAAAACACATTATAGTGTTATCAAGCAGAGCGCTTTTCTACAAGTGAATCAATATATGTATATCAAATTCGATGTCGATTTTTTTAATTTCAACTTGAATATTGTCTTTCATAATGAATTTAATTTTGTAATATTTTAATTGCGTTTTCCATAACCTACCGCAAAAATGACACATTTAATTACACAAATAAAAGCCCTGCTTAAGTCACTCGTTATCATTAAAATCACAATCAATGAATGTCACATTGTACTCAACTTCTCTATAAAATATTAATCAATATATGTATGTACGTGTGTAGAAATATACATATTTTTAATCAAAACCTAAAAGTCAAAACGAATGAAATACGAAAACGAGACAAACTGCAATAAAGAGGACGTGCAAGTGCTTAAAAGTTGTAAAAAAAAAAAACAAATATTCAGTATAAAATTTAAATAAACGTACTATAAAACTGTTCACTCTACGCCTTGCTGAAGATACCACCACACGCTGCCAGAAATGTAAGTAATAAGCTGTTTTGTCTACAATAGAGTCTAATATAGAGTTTTGATTATAAACACCTATTCCCATCCTACGTTTTATCGATTTAAGGGCGAATACAAGCCTAATACTAATCTGATGCTACTCTTTTCAAATTATTGGAAGCTTAGTGAAATTTAAAAATGTTTTAAATTGTAAAAGCTCAAGTAAATGTAACACATTAAGAAGGCGTTGCAAACAGTGCAAAATTTATTTTTGAAAATATAGCCAGCCATATCCCTAGGAAGTGAATCTCTTGACTTCTCCTTATTTAAATAGTCTGCCGTTGTACGCATCTAATAGAACTAAGAAAATTTGTTAGGCAACGATAAAGCATAAAGTTAATAAAAAATGGCAATACTGTGGAATACGATTTATAATCTAGTACCGAAAGTAATTAGAGATTCGCCCGGGGGGAATAAACGAAGAGAAATGAAGTTTTACTAGAAATAACTGAAAATAAAAAACTAAACAGTCAGTTTCTAGGCACACCAAGTTAAGAAAGCAAAATGTCTTGCTACCTTATCCAATAATTAAATAACCCAAGACTACATGTTTTTTAATAAATAAATTTAAAAGGCCAATCGTAAAGTTAATTGATTGATAATGCAATTTGTTTCTATTTTAATATCCCACAAATGAGTTGGGTGTGTGTGGTTTATTCTAAAACCAAACAAGTTTAAACAATGTTTCCTTTTTTATTTGTGTTCAAAAGTGTTGCCTCCGGTTACAAGCACTTCTAACTGCAATTTTCTACTGGCATGCACCACAAACCACAACTACATTACTCTGCAGGAAAGTGTCTTGCAGCGTACAAAATTTCCATTGTTTTGTTTTCCCTCCTGCGGTTAGCCGACTCTAGGCGTTGCATTTCATTTGTGGTGTGGCAAACTATCAGCCATGGAAAAGCTGCTGTTGATCAAATAGCCTGGTGGTAAGGAAACCCACAAGTTTTTAGAGCTATTGTGGGGTGGATAATGTTTGCGATCGGGGCTAAGATTCGTAACGCGCATTTAATTGCTGTCGTAGTTTTCTGCGGCTTGAACTTGTCCATTCGATAGCTATTATATGGAATTCAATATTCATTGCCAGTTCGATTTGTTAGCATCAATCCAATTGTTTGTTGACTTTTAGCCCACTTTGCGTTTGTAAAATCGAAAATTTTTTGCGTTCAATTTGTTTATGTGGCCGGCCGCACATGAAATTGAAATGTTTGTTTTAGCTGCTGGAAGCATTCAGAATATTTTTAATGCTATTTATAGCTCAAAGTTTAGTGCCCAGACACCAGCCAATATGCCAAATTCGTTGAGTTCGACGTCGAGGGCCTTTCAATGACAGCTTCCTAAGCAGCATCATACGATATGTTTGCGCCCCGGTTGGCTGACTTTCTAATTATTAGTACATATTATTTTTGGCATACGTTGCTGCTACAGTTTTCATTAATATGGCGGAAAAAAAAGCAGATGGTGAGAAAAATTATACTGACATTTTCCATGTTAATTACTCGTTATATAAACGAACAACTTGTTTAGTTCCTATTTTGCTAAAAAAAAAGTATATATATTAAGTAAACATCTGTTGCTTAGGAATGTAAGTGGAAAAAAATGTTCATTATGTACTTGAATACAAATGGGGCTCGTGAAATCGAATTAATAAACACATTTTGCCCTCAGTCGTTAAAAAATCTGCCATTCTGTAGGCCCATTCAGAAATAACCAATCCAGGCACTGGCTAATCGTGGCCAATCAGTACGAAAGGGTTTAAGTAAAATGTGAAAGGTTCAACTATAATTTGTGCTTTTTGTTATTTTGAATATTAAAAAAATATTGTAGGTGGTTATTTCCAAATGTAAAATGAAATAAAAGTTATAGTTTGTCATTTCAATTATTAGTTGGCAATCGGGGCTTATATTGCTTTATAATTGCATTTACTTACATATTAATTGCCAATTTTGTTTAAAATCATAGACTGGGATATCAGAAATATTTGAAAAAACGTTAAAATATGAAATGTTTTAACAAAAAGACTTACATTTTTCTTATGGTAAGAAAATGAAGAAATCGGTTAATGACCGATTGACTAAAAGGGCTCAAAGTACAAGAACATGCACTTCTATTATGTCTTGTTTGCCATCCTCATATACGAAGCTATAAACTAAGCTGGATGTTTACGAAATGAAAGAAGTATACAATGTTTAATTTTTCGACTTTTTCCGTGTCAAGCTAGCCATAAAAATAAGAATTTGCCAAATTGTAAATAAACTTGTTGTAGTCTTGCTGTTGTTTTTATTTTTATTTATTTATTTATTAACTCATGCTAAATATAGCGACTTTATCTGTTCGAATGGAACAAACATTTTGTTTGTAATTTGTTTTAATTTATATCTTGACCATAAACCGCACGCAAAAAAAAAAAAATGAATACAAAGAGACGGCCCGCGTGCCACATTTTGTCGTTAATTAAAACACAGCGGCGAAAAAAGTAACAATAAAAGTTTTTTTGCAACATTTTGAACATCCAGTCGTAACTAGTTGAAAACAATTTAAACAAGTCGCTACAGGCTAGGATGATTTGATGGCTGCAATACGAGTAGGTGTGGGGCTACTGCCATGACGACTTGGATTTGGATGGTATGAAATGGTTAATTAAAATGTGTCTTGGTTATAAAATGTAATGTTATTTAAACCGTTTCACAAGCAATTCTACGGCTAATTCAGCCGTCTGTCTGTATGTATAGCCATAAAAACTTGTTTTCTGCCATGTGCATATAAAAATATAATTTGTTGTGTTAATTTTTGCGTCCAAAACGCGCGCGCAGTTCTGTGACCGCCTTGACAATCTTATCATTATGCTATTTTTAGCTTTGGTCGCCCCTATGTGTATACGAATGTAGTGTTTGTCGCATTGTCAATGATTTAGAACTTCGCGCCCAACCTTTTTTTTTTTTTGCCTTGAACAAAATCTCTATCTCTAGCTATAGGCTATACAACTCAGATACAAATGTATCTGGCAAATTTTTGCTATCAACTTTTCGCCGCTGTTTTGTGTTTTTAGAGGCATCGTGTGATCATTTAGCGTTGTGCTAATTTAATTTACCGCATTTGTATTTTGGTGTGAGTACATCAGTCTGTTTAAGTTTTTCTTCCCCGTACCCTACCCGACAGTTATAAAGGGTCTATTAGGTTTGCACGAAGTATATATACATACTTGTATATACATATATTATCTTATTATTTTAATTTCCCCCCTTTTCCCGGACGACAATTTCGTCAGATATACTTTAGTCTACTTTTGTTTTAAATTTCAATCAACTCACTCAATTCGACAAAAAGTTATTGTGAAAAGAGCATCAAGTTCGCTCTTCTTCTTTTTGCTGCTACTATGCGCGCAGCGATAGAACTGCCTTTGAATACAGAGTATTTCACTATCGGGCTCCCTTGGCAGTTCTAAGTATGTTGTTCATATTTTTATTTATACTATTTTTTGGGCAGTACACAAATATGTTGAAAATAGATTCCTTTGTAAATATCCATATCTACATAAATTAAGATGCAATTATATCTGTTTGTTGAGCTTCTTGGTTTTTAATTGTTTTGAAATAATGCAAATTTTCGAGAATATTTATTTATATTTGATTTATACAAATATATTGGAGAAATGCGCATACAATAATGTATTATATATTTTAAATTAACTGGCGGAAAATTATACTTCAATTATTCCATTTGGTTATTATTCATGACATATAAGTACGGACAATAAATACATTATAAATTTAACAACGCCAGCAACACAGCAGCCCAACCCCAATTCAGAAAATATAATGGTATTGGTTCCGAAAACCCGTTGACGAGATAAATACATACATATAAGTATGTATACAATTTCACCTCTAAAAGAACGAAATGAATTTTCTGTTGTAAGAATTAAGCTCGAATTTTCGCGTTGCTTTTAAATTTCAAAACATTTCTAGCATTGTTTATATGCACCTTTCTATTAAGGTTTCAAATGCAATATTTATCGTAAACAATTGGCCGAGTCATTGATAAGTGCACCCTACAAAGAGTTGAGTTCAATTTGTTATTTCGTAGCTACTCAACAATGAACAAAAAGTGGGGCCAACGTGTGTATGCAAATCGAGAGGGAGAAGGAGATAGTGAACAAAATTTAATGCGAAATGCGAAAAAGGAAGTGCGTGTGATGTTTTTTGTGGTGCTTGTGTTTGTGCTTTTGTGTATCCGGTTTTCTATTTGCATCTCTTTCAGCAGCTGCCGAATAGAAAAACCAAGTAAAGTGCAAATCTTCAAGAATATGTTTTCATTTTGTTGACAAAAAGCGGAAATTGTCGCAGTTTTTGTCATCTTCATTGCTCTTCTTTCTCTTTGTTGCTGCCCACCTCCCTCCCTCGCTCTAAAGTGCCTGTGTGCGTATGCATATGCAAATTTAATTACACACAAGTGTCAACCATGCGAAGCACCCGGCACTAGACTGTTTGTCAACCCAGCAAGGATATTGTCAGCGATTATGGCAGGACTGCAGTGGTGCAGTAACTATAATTAAAATAAATCAATGGGAGTAGAAGGATATTTCGTATGGTTTTAATATGTAATATATTCCATATTTCCCTACTGTTAGTCACATGAATGATCGTACATTTAAATGTACGAGCTTTCTTAAGATTCGGTACAATATATATAAATATAATTATCTTTCTCTTCTAAAAACTTCATTTGAATTGGTAAAGAAACTTTATTATTGCAGTACTGCTACCCTAATCGGTAGCAGAGGGAACACTCTTCGTTTTTGCTTTTTGCTCCAACTAATAGGATAATTCATACTATACTATATAGTGTAATATTTTCTGTAGTGCTTTATTAAGCTTTTAAGTCTACAGATCAGTTTTCATGTTAACAATTTGCAAATTGTTGATAAATCGTTCGCCAAAGTTTGTTTGATTTGCAGACTAGTGCTGAATTGCATC